CCTTGGTGACCTCACGCAGGATGCCGGAGGTAAGACCCCGAGGTGCCGGTGCAGAGGGACATGCAGGGTCACAGGTCCTGCCTAAGGTGAGGGCTAGATGTCCCAGCTCTCCCCCCTTTTCCGCCCCGCAGCTTCCCCCAAGGATGTGGGAGCCGGTGCCAGGGGAGAGGAGAGTGCCCTGCCGGAGCTGGAGAACTCCCTGGTCCTCAGCAAGCTGGGTGAGGGGGTGCTGGTGGGCAATCTAATTATAGATTGGATATTAGGAAAAACTTCTTTACAGAAAGGGTAGTCAAGCATTGGAACAGGCTGCCCAGAGAGGTGGTGGAGTCACCATCCCTGGAAGTGTTCAAAAAACGGGCAGAGGTGGCACTTTGGGACATGGTTTAGTGGGCATGGGGGTGTTAGGGTGATGGTTGGGCTGATGATCTTAGAGATCCTTTCCAACCTTAATGATTCCTAGTTTTTACTTTCATTCAAAAATAATCCAGCTACCGAGCCAGGAAACATGAAATTGCTACTCTCCCCTTAACTGGTTTAGTGAGGCCTTGGCAGTGTTAGGTTAATGGTTGGACTGGGCGATCCTAAAGCTCTTGTCCAACCTAAACGACTCTATGATTCTATGAAAACCATGCTGCTTGGGACGCCAGCCTCTATGGCTGCCCCGAAAGGCGACAGCAACGAGCCGGCTTTGGCCTGCAGGTTTTGTCCAGCTCCCGACGTCCGGGCGCATCTACAAAATGCCCAGCGTGAGCAGCGACGAGATCTGGCTGTGAGACGCAGTGTGGTGCCCGTGAGCCAGGGCTGCCCGGTGCCAGGTACGTACCAGCCTCTGGCGAAGCGCAGCCGAGGGTGCCGGGGAGGCCGTGCTGGGTGGCGGGCACCGACCAGCCCCTGGCTATACGTTAAGCTACATACTGCAGGTCTGGGTAGCTGTGCTGTTAGCCCTGGTTTTATGTAGCCCCTGCACTTTACAAATAGAATATTATAACCAAAACACATCAAAGCTGTTCGTAGCCTGACTCTGCCAAGCTGCTAGCACTGCGATTCCTCCCGGGGTAAGGCCAAGCACCGGCCTTGCTTTAGCAGGTTCGTGGCCTGCTTGCTCCGTCCTCCTCTCCGCCCCTGCCAGAGCTGCGGCAGATGGGCAGACAGCATGGCAGGGGCTGGAGAGCGCCGCCCCAACAGCAATAAACTCAACTCAAATGTCTGTGTGGTGCCGCGCTGGTTATTTCTCCTTGGCAGTAGCTAAGGGGCTTGAGACTAGAAAAAGGGCATCAATAATACAGGGCAGAAGAGACTGGAATCCCCAGATCAGGTCTTGGAACACACTGGGCAGATCTGAGTGTTGTGTTTGAGCACAGAATTTATTCCCACTCGCTGCAGCACTTGTAGCGTGTGCTCGAGGAGCCTCTGCAGCGTCTGTGGCACAGGGAGCCTGTCTTTGGGAAGAGCTTAACGCTGAACTGCTTGGGGACAAGTCAAAAATGGAGCCATTAGGCAGCTTCTGCAATAAATGCGATGAGTAAAGTCCTACTCTACGAATGCAGAACAGCTCAGCAGGGAGGCTTCTGAAGTGCTGTGCGTTGCTTCGCAGGCTGCTTTGGTCAAATCTCGACATCCAGCGGCAGATGTTGAGCCAGGAAACGAGGGTTTAACGTGAAGCTTCAAGTAAAGCTTAACACTTCGGCGTCTGCCGCTTGTGAAGGTGGGTTGGATGGCGGGCTGCTGCCCTTCTTCCCATCAGCCAGGGGCTTGAAATGCTGCAGGGGAAAGAATGCCTTAGTGCAAAGATTCAACTCTCATGAATCGGCGTATGCCTGAAAACGCAAGCCACTCCTGCTCTGTGTGCACTGTGTGCTCAGCAGTCGCCCTGACTTCAGTGGGAAAAGCATTCTGGGCTTATGCTGGACTGTTAAACAACACAGCATCCCAGCCTTGTGGCAAGTCAGAGGCTGCTTGTGTAACGTTGAGGTACCAGGGAAATGAGAAGCTTAGACAATGTTCTTTGGACCCCTTTGTCATGGCCTACCAGCCCTTTACAAACGCCCACAGCGCAGCAAAGCCGAACGTAAGGAGAGAGGCTTTGCAGCGCTTCAGCTGGGTGAGCGGTGCCTGCCTGGAGTCGCTTACCTGCGAGTTCTTGAACTCCGAGTAGAGGGAGAAGAGGACGTGCAGAGGCTGGATCCGACTCTTGTACACAGGGATGTCCAGAACAGCTACGAGAGAAAGCAAAAGCGTGTGAGAGCGTCCAGGCTGCACCGCCCTGCACAGGGTGCTGTAAGTAAAGGCTGAGCGTCCCACTGCCCCCGATTACTCGGGCCTTTGCTCATCAAAGACCGCAGGCGCTTGCAGTACAAGTTTGTGAATGCGCCAGAGAATGATCTTGGCTACTCGGGGTTGAGCCTGCACCTAGAGGTCTCGTGCTTTAAGTGAGACAGTGCCAGGCCAGCAGCACGCTTGCGTCTTCAGCACAGCCTCCCCCGCTTACCACATATCATGTCGATGTATTCGGCCAGGTCGCAGTTCATCTCTGCAGTCGGGAGGCCCACCTGGAACAGAGTGGGCTGTCAGCTCTGCTCCCACGCGGCAAGAGCCCGAGAGCACATGCTGACCTCGGGCTGAGCGCAGAGGCCACCCGGGCAGCAGCCAGGAATTCGGGCGTTAGGCTGCTCCCCCGTCTTCCAGCAAGGGAGAAATGGTGAGTCGGAATGAACCTGAACGGGCCGGGCTGCGGGCAAAGAGCTCAAAAGGGAACAGGAACCCAGCTTTCACAGAAGGTGGTTTCTAACAGCACGCACTGAGCTAACTGCCTATTGCTCGGACAACGTACCTTTCCCAAGAGCTCCTCAAATTCCGGCGACCATTCCTGCATGAGGGTCTCAATGTCAGGCATTGGCCTGCCAGGGAAGCAAAGAATGTGGTCTTCAGGATCACAGGCGACTGAAATGGCTTCCCATTGCCAGACCGCTGTAAACGGGACAGCCTCTGCTCTAACCAGCTGAGAGACATCAGCCCGTCTGCCGAGGGGCAACGTGGGCATTTTTATTTATCAAAACAAGCCTAAGCTTGCTAAGTTGCAAGTTCTGAGTGCTAGCTGTTAAACTAATTCAAGTTAGGCAGGGAAAGATAAGTGCAGAGAGGGACACCGAGCGTCCCGCACGCACGCATGGTATGACTACCCTGAAAATCAGCACATCTTCTCCCTCTCTGGGGTATTTTGAGAGTTTTACTCAGCGCCCCTAGGCTTTGCTGCCAGCCTCCCGCTAAGCTGAGCTTACACTGTACGAGCGTGTGTGAAGCAGAGCCGTCGTAACGGCTCACCTGGTGTAATGGACCGTGGCAGGCGGTTTGCAGCGGTGCAGTTCGCTGATACTTTCAATCCAGCTGTCAATGGCTTTGGGGTTCTTCTCTGCATTCTCCAAACTCTTCACTTTTATCTGCTGCTAGAAACAGAAATACAAACCTGGAAGCACTTCGTGGTGTTTTGGGGCTTTTTTTGCAAACCCTGTGCTCGCTCCTGATTAACCATGCGCTTTCTCTTTCCTAGTTGCGCTATACCACGCTATTTTTGCAGACAGAAGAGCAGCTGGGAAACAAAACTTCACCTGAAGGAAACAGATCCAAAGTCTGTACCAAGACTTGCCTGAAGCAAGGCTTAGATCCATTGCAGTTTAAAGCTGTGGGTTAAAGAAAAAGGTTAGTTTTTTCTGCTTTTAAAGGCAAGTTATCAGTTGTGCTGCAACACTGTAGCCACACAGACAAAAGTAAGAGTAAAATGCAATGTTTTTGCTACAGCCAGTGCGCAGCAAGTGCCTCCTCCCTCTCCACGACTCACCGTGATGTTGTGCTGCTTGGAGTTCTCTGTCAGCCAAAGGGAGAGCACGGTGGGATCTGACTGCTTGGTCGACGGCTCATCCAGGACCAGCAGGCCCAGGTTATCAGGCTTGCCGTCGGGACGGGGAACCTGCAGATAAACAGAGCCCCTGTTTTCTACAGGAGTCCAAGGCGGGGAAAGGTTGGGCTGTTTTGTGCAGAGCCTCCCTGTGGTTTAAAAATCAGACCCTGAAAGGAATTGGTAGGTGTGCTCTCTTGAATATGAGATGTGAGTACAGTGCTACCTGAAAAGCACAAGGTGTTGGACAAGGGCAAACACAGCCCTCGCCCCTAATTATGTGTGTGCTGTTTGAGAGGCGACTGAGCCGCTACTGAGCGCAGTTTCCCAGGTCTCTAGAATGTTATCCCCGACAGCACGGGGCAAGGGCACACGCCGCTGCAGGGACGGGTCGGCCTCCAGTGCCCCTCTCGCACCGATGCCACGTTCCGTTTCGGCTCGTGTGGCAGGAGGGTGCAGAGGAACCTGAAGCGACGGTACCTTTAGGAACGCATCAATGTCTCCAACTGCAGGAATAAAGTCTGGAATAAAAGGCTGCAGTTTGTGCTCAATCTCTATCGTTTTGGGAGTGTACCTGGGAAAAAAAAAAAAACCACCGCCGCAGCATGGGTGACTATGAACTGTCCTGCAAAACTTGCTGCAACAATTGGCACAAAGGAGAGCCAAGAGTCGGCTAAAGCCCCTTCCACTCACCTCTTGATGTACTCAAAGAGTTCTTTGATTTCAGACGATACTGGCAGGTAGTCATAATCTGCTAGATTGAAGTCACTAAGGAAAGGAAGAGAAATGCGGGCAAAGATTAACGTGTGGTAGGTTCTGTGCAAGCAGGAACTGGGACCCAACTGTGCAAGATCACAAAGGACGGTAGTCAGTCCTCTTTAAAAAAGTCTTCTTGCACGCGACCAGTACTATCAGGCCACATTTTGCCTTGGGCCTCCTAGCCAAAACAAGCGCTTCAGCTGTCGCTTGTGATTATAGAGACTTGTCTAGGGGATGTCAAAAGCTGGGTAAGTGATCTGCACAAAGGCAGTCATTGGGACAACAGCTAGGGGAGTTAGTAATGGGTTTGGAGTTGAAAACGGCGGAAAAGGAGAATTATCAGGAGGCGAATAATGCGTTTGAGATGTTCCTTCTCTTTCTCAGGCAGCTGCTGCCAGCCGAGACAGGAGGCTGGCTGACACCTTTGGTCGTTCCCAGCTGTGCCTTTCGTTGGCAGAGCAAAACAGGGCGTGGGGATTGTCTGAGGAGCCGCCTTGGGTGGCTGCAGTTCGTCGCATGAAGGAACCTCCTTCCTGGGCTGCCCAGGTATGAGGAGGAAGGAGCTGCCTGTCCCGATGCCCACAGCCATGCTCGCCTTCGCAGGACGACGAGCACGCCAGCGGAGCTGAATGGGCCCATACGGCACCGCCTGGCACTGGACCCCGGCTCTTCCGTCCGGTCCCGCCACTTACCCCTCCAGCGCAGCCCCGTGCTCCTCCGAGTCGTCCTCCGAGTCGGTTTCGGAGGAATCCTCCGAGTTGTCGTCGTCGTCGTCCTCATCCTCGTCGTCGCTGAGGGTGGCGGGGGG